AAAAGAAGAGTGCAGGTGTATGGTGCATCATCACACACAACCCAATATATATTTTTCTTCAGTTAAAAAGAAAATGGAAGCATTAATGATATGCTAGGGGCCTACGGTTATATTATTCAGTTTAAGATCGAAACAAAACCAGATATACATTTATTGGAATGTACATCAATTTACTATATCATGTATTACATATAAAAGATACAACAGACTAGGAAAAAATAATCAAAAGTTGTTGCTTCATTAGTCCTGCAATCATTAGAATTAAATATACACTAGGACTGTGCGAAGAAGCAAGTATTCAATTTGGATTTGGATTCAGCCGATTCAGAGGGACAGTGATTCGATTTGGTGATTTCAATCACTGTTCCAATTCGATTAGGCCAAATTGGATCTGAAGATTCGGTACCAATTCAGAGATTTGGCCATAGACTAAACAGGCAGCAGTTCTCACCATGCTGGACACAGATGCCTCCAGCTGGTAAGTCTGTTGTGGTGGGCAGAGTGGGGAGGGAAGGGGAGTGGTGGGGGGAGATCAATGCCCCACAGTGAGAGAGGGATTAAGGGCTTGGGCTGGGGCAGGGACAAGCTGCCCAGCTGGGACAGGGGGGCCTGGGACTTGGGGAGGGGGGCTCCCACCACTGTGTGCCGCCATGCATCGCCAGTCCGGGAGGGCATGGGAGCAGGAGTGTGCCCCTGGATCTGCACAGGGCAGGCTGGGCCAGGCTCCAGATGGGCGGTGCAAGGCAGTGGGAGCGGGGGCTCTGCCTTTTTGCCACTTGTCCAGGTGGGGCAGGGGAGTGTGGGACGCAGTCACAACAGCGCTGGGAGCAGGGGTGCTGCACTGCTATTACTTGCCCAGCCGGGGAGCTGGGGGTGGGGCATGGTGCAGGCACAGCTCACTCCAGATGGAAGGCACTGGGAGCAGAGGCTATGCCCTCCTGCCGCTTACCTGGCCAGGGTGGGCAGGTGCAGGACAGCGCCACTGCGCTGCCTCACACAAGCGGCACACAGTGGTGGAAGCTGCTCCAGCCTCCACGCACTGCCTGGAAAAGCTGTGGCTTCGCCCCACTGTGCCCTGGCTGGGCGAGCAGCAGCAGGGCATGGTGGCAGGTGCATGCACCCAGATCAGAGAGGGGCCATCAGCAGGGGCGATGGGGAATTTTAGGGTGGCTGCAGCCCCCCCATAGTACATGCTCCACTGCGCTCTGTGGGGTGGGTGGAGGTAAGGCTGTGCTCCGGGCTGCTGCTGGGGCTAGCCACCTGGAGCACAGCCCTGGCTCCACCTGACCTGTGAAGCACAGCCCAGCAGTGGATGGCTGGGGCTAGCCTCTGGGAGCGCAGCCTGGCCCAGCCCACCCTGCGCAGATCCAGGGGCAGACACCTGCTCCCATGCCCTCCTGGACCGGTAACTGTAAAAGGGCACAAGCCCGCTCCCATTCCTACTAGTGGTTGTGCGCAGTGGTGGGAACCCCCCTCCCCAAGTCCCATAGATATTGATTCCACCATTTCTCTAGGTAGTCTATTCCAATGTGTCTCCACACTCATAGGTAGAAAGTTCTTCCTAATTTCCAACCTAAAATTTCTCTGTTGTAGCTTGAGGCCATTACTCCTAGTCTTGTCCCCTATGGCCACAGAGAACAGGCTATTGCCATATTGTGGCAAAGCCCTGGAACAGTCTAGAGAGGTTTTAAAATTTCCAGTCTTAAAAGTTTTGAAGAGCAGGTGAGACAGACATTTGACTGGGTTGATCCTGCCTTGAGCAAGGAGCTGGACTAGATGACCACCTGAGGTCTCTTCTAGCCCTACTTTTCTATGATTCTGTGGTGTAGATGGCTATGCAAATCCATATACATTTCTAACCATTGATAATTATCTGTATCTATACATAACCAGCTATATTAATCTATCCCTAGCCACATACATCTATAGCCATCTGTGTCAGTTTATTATAATCTTGTCAGTTGATAGGTATAGACTGGCTTTACATATATGGCTCTAGATTGACATAGGTTGCTTTTTAAAAAACTGTCTGGTATAGGTAGCTATGACATAGCTGGTAATAAATGTAGAATCAATAGCCAGTTACATAAACTTGTATTAATCAATAGGTATAGATGGCTAATCTATATAAATCTATACCTAGGTATAGATTTAAATAGCTAGGTATGGACTGACAAGACTATATACATCAATATCCAGCTCTGTCAATTTACATTCACAGATAGCTAGGCATAGGCAGTTATTGATCAATATAGGTTTACAAAGCTGTCTTATGATTGATATAGTCATCCATATCTAGCTATTTTATTTAATGCAAGCTATATCAATCTATCCCAATCAATAAGCAGTGATTGCAAGTGATACAGGTGATACATATATACAACTTTGCCAGTCTAGGCAAATTGATATCCAGCTATAGCTGTATACCTACAGCTATGTATAGCTGTATACATGACATAATGGGTTCAGGGAGGTATGAGCTTTCATAGGCAACAGCCTACTTTGTCAGATGCCCTTCAAGGACTTGCAGAAAAAAAAAGCTTGTATATAAAAGGGAAAGGGACAGGGGGAAGGGACACTGCTAAGAGATAGACACTAATTAAGCCTCAATTCTAGACACACCACAAAAGCCCATGGCAGAGCACTTTAACCTCCCTGGACATTCCATCACTGATCTCAGGTGAGCTGTCCTCAGACAGAAGAACCTTTAAATACTAACTTAAACGTGACATTGCAGAACAAGATATCTTGCATATACAAGTATTAGTCATAGTCACAACAGCAGCCCATGGCTTCTTATCCCATTACCTGGACTAGCCATTAACTCAGGTGTTGACTGCTTTGTTCATCTCAACTTATCTAAACAACCCACATATTACCACTTTTAGCCACCCTGCCATAACTTCTGCCATCTGTAAAACTCTATGAGTAATTATTCCACTAAATGTAGGAGAGGCTTCAGATGCAGAACTCAGTAATTTTGGGCACAACCTTTGAAGAAAGATGTAGCTGAATTGCAGATAATTTACAGGTGAGAAACAACAATGATGAGGCTTAAAGAACATGATCCGTGTGGAAAGACTGAAGGAAATGGGAGGGAGACAGCACATACACCTTCCTTGTAACATAGCTTTCAGGTCCCTTTACAATGCCTACACCTTGAGGATAAGGACTTTCTTCTTCACTACTATTCACCTTGTTTCAGATGCCTTCAGCCACATTCAGCAAGTTTTTGTTCAGAATGAGTAGAGACTCTACTGAAGCTCTGCTGGTCAGAGACAGTTATAACTCTTTACTTGCCACACACCTATTGCACAGCTTATTCTCGTTTCAATTTCCAATTCTTATAAAATAGATTAAGCACCCAAAACCTCATCTGTTACGTCAAGTAAAATTGATATGAAGAAAGGAATTTCATTTGTGGAACTTTTACTGTAATATTTAGAGATGTGTGAGTGGATTTGGATAGTACACAAACTGAATTTGAGATTAATTTTTAGTTTAATTTGTTGCTTTCATGCAGTGTTTTCATGCTCTTTTCATAATTTTTCTGTAAGATCTAAAGTGCTTGAAATCTTAAAGAATCTATGCCCATGAGATTTTTCAACCCAGTTTTTCAAAGTGAAAATTTCAGATCACTTTGATGAGTTTGCAAAAATAAATATTTTTATCTAAGCCTCAGTTGTAACAAAATGAGTATTCATATGAGTGAACCTTCTGAGGTTCACTCATTGCCAGTCATACAGTTATTTCTATCCACAAAACTTTGATACCATTTAATATTAATATTATGCCGCATTTAGATTTTGAGGAAGAGATATACTGTGTACGTTTAGGATATCAGCAGTCTGGCTAAGTATTCTCAGCTCCTATAGGACCTTTTCCCAGCTTTTCCTTCTCAGGTCAATAACAAAGAAAAGCAGCACAGACAAAAGGAAAAATTACTGAAGGCCCATAACCCAAAATACAACTAATGTCATAACCAGTGATCCATGTGGGTGCATCCAGATGAGTGCAGACATTTGTTTTCCTGGGGACAAGTAGCAGTGACACAAGTTGTGCCACTGCTACTTGTCCCTGGGGAACACCCATGCCATACACGTTCTGGTGTGTGGCAGGTTATCCTAGGTGGAGTAGGGGAGGCTGGTGCTAGGAACTGTGCTGGCCCCAGCAGCCTTACCTGGAATCCTGGGGACCTTCTGGGGCTGCAGCCACTGCAAGAAGCCTGGCTGGCAGTTGAAGTGTGGCTCCGGCCAGCCAGGCTCCTGTTTTTGGCAGTGCACATTGCTGCCACATGCGCTACCCCCCTTCTTTTTGGCATGGGATTTTTTGACCCTGGGATCTCCAGGGGTCAAGCCCACCCTCTTCCCTCCCCCCGCATTGTAAGATAGCAGTGTGGTGAACGCCTGCATATGCGGTGTGTGGTGCTGCAGAACTGTCTGGACACAGCCCATAATTTTCAATGAATATAAACTTACAAAATATAGCATTACCTAAACTTAAATTTTATGCAGTATACAATTTTTTAAAACCTGTATAACAAATTTAAAACTGATGGGATTTGATATAATAGTTCAGTTGCATTAAAGAAAGCTATAGAGATGGGGCAGGGAAAAGGGACAACTCCAGCAGTATTTTCCATACTACTTTCTTAGACAATATGTTTCTTTCTTTGCTAAACCACAAGACATATACAGCATTATGGATCAGATCCCCTAGCTTATATAGCTCTGCTAATTTAAGATAATTGAGGAACTGGGCCAGTAATTCATCTTCCATCACACCGTGCTGGTAATTTAAATGCTTTTGATTACACTGAGATAAGTGGCAACAGCTATAGATACTGTCCAGTGCGAGAATAGGCTGGCTCAAGTTCACTAAGCCAATGAATGCATTTTAGTTTAAAATAATCTTTAAGGAAACAAATTCTGATCATATACAGACACATATAACTTGAGCCCCTAATACCTGATAGTAAATACCATTACTCAGATATCTACCTTGTACTATGTATGGAGTGTTCTCCTCTTTGACTGGGGAAGACAAGGGACGAGGGGCAGGTGCTGGTGGCCTGTTCATGATAAACGATCTGCGTTCCTTTCTTCTCTCCTCATCAGAAGCAGCTAGTATCATGTCGTACACACCATCCTCCAACGTGGCAAAAGTGTATGGATCCTCCTCATCCTCTTCCCTCTGTACTTCCACAGCTATATCTTGTTCTTCTCCATCGTATGCTTCTAGATGTTCACTGGTGTGTTCCCTTTCCTTTCTGTCTTCCACCAGTTTACTGACTGCAATAGAGAAGTTTTCAGTCTTCCAAATCTCCAAAGCCCAAAACTCCCATATCTCAATGCAGGCACTTAAATTCATACTTAGGCACCAAAATAAAAGTGGTTTGATTCTCAAAATATATTAAGAACCCCAGACTATCATCCAGTTCAGTATAGGTGGATTCTAAGGTGATACTTGCAATTTCATTACTTCATAATTTTCTCTAAGATTGTATGAAATGTTGCTGATACTTAGGTTGATATATTGTACTCATAACTCCCCCTCCCCCAAAAATTGTCTGCCATAGCTCCCATTAAAGGTTTCTTATCCTTAAAAAAAGGATAATCATTTGGCTTACAGCACTTTGGAAAGCATATTAGATGTTTAAATTTGGCATTAGAGCATACAGTTGTGCATGTGTGTTTTTTTAATGGCACTTCTTTTCCCTGTGGTTCCCACAAATCATCTATTTTTGATGGTTTATCCAATATAATCTGGTGTTATGGTAACTAAACCATGAGAGAGGTAGATATGGAGGTTTCTATGTGCAATTCCTGCTCTGAGTGGTTAACAGCTCCCCATACATGACACAAAACAACCACCACATACCTACACATACAAAACAAGTCTACTTTCCCCACCTTAATCCATGTAGCATGCTTTCTGCCTGCTTTCCCCCGTCTACCACTGCTGCCCTTCTCCTGCCACTTCCCCCTCTCCTCCCACTCTTCCCCCACCACTCCAGCACCATGTCCCAGCTGCTCCTGCTGTCCCAGTGCTGCAGCTGGGTACCACATGACACTGCAGTATGGTGGGCGGGGGGCAGGGAGAAGTGCGGAAATGGCTGAGGCAGGAGGGGGAAAAGGAGAGTGAGCAGGCATGTGGAGTGCAGCATTTGCTGCTGTGGCTGTTTAGTTCTGCCACTGGCTTCTTCTGGTTCCTGTTGCCCTTGGCTCCTGTCATCTTTGACAGGCAGTCAGGGCAGATAAATATTAATGTTCTAAATTTTTTAGGGGCCCTGTGGATTGAATGGAATGGCCTGGTGGGCCGTATCCAGCCCGCAGGCTGTATTTTGCCCAGCCCTGCGCTATAGCATTATTACACATTTTCAAGTGTTAATTTTGTAGCTGGTTGGTTCTATTTATAGCTGGACAGTCATTCTTATGGAGTGATAATTACTTTGCATTTGTGGCTGGTATTACTTTGCATGTGTGGCTTGGCTAAATTTATTTTGTGATTAACCAGTTAATTGGTTAATACATGTAACACATAGCAGGGGCCTTAAAAACAATACCCCCCCCCAGCAGATTGTCAAAAGATGGTCCAGCTGAAGAGAGTGATATGGAAAAAGCAGCAGGTGAACTTCTCATTTTTTAAGCTACTGAGTCTTTTTTTTAATTGCGTAGATGGCAAAACTGTACTTAGCAACAGGACAAATGTTTGCCTAGTGCTGCTGTGCTGGTTGCCTACTCTCAAGCAATTGATGCTCACCTTGAAGCTTTCTGTTGTGAATGGATATTCCCTTTATATTGCTATGATTCTCTCCATAAGCATATGTTTATATCTGGTAATAATGTAATTATTACTGCTTTAAACCCTCCTGTTGCTGTTTGGAATAAACTGTTTTATTTATTTTCTCTAAGGGATAACATGAGGAAGTCTTGGTAGTTTTACTATGCTCTTGTACTAGATATATGTGCTGTGATCTCTGGCTTATCTGGAAAAATATATTTAGAAAAATAAAATGTGATTCATAAAAAAGTCTGTCACATTTTGTATACAATGAGAAAAATATTCCATTTTCACAGAAGTAAAGTGAAAGAGAAGTGAAACATTTCTTTTGATGGGCTTTTTATTCTCAGAACTCCTACAGGGGGCACTCATGTCACTGTCAAAAGAAACTGTCTCTAGAAAAACGACTAGGCTCCAGTATGTCTCTTAGCTATTCCAGAGCAATACCTGCAGTAAATGGCTGACTAAAAATATGTAGGAATGAATCATTACAATTTAAAAAAGAAGAAATCATCCCAATTTAGAGAAAGATCCTGATATTTTCTTTCCTCCACCTCCCCTTCACCGCTGAAATGCTGAAATCAAAGTTACCACTTTAAGAGAACACCTAATGTTTAAAATGAAGTATTCATATAGAAATAAACTTAGAAGAACTCTACGTTATCCTTGTATTCTCAACCATTTGGATTCTGCAAATTTATATGAACTTAGCTGCCTACTTATAATTGTGTTCTTTTTCCATTAGACTAAGATCAAAGCACTATTAAGCATAACTCCAAACTTCCAGCAACAAACCCTTCATGCCAAATCTTTCTCTCTTACTTTTGTGCTTATATTGATACTCTGAACAAGTGGTTCTTTAAGAGGAAAGGTTCTTCAACCTTTACAGACACTAAGGTTATCATTTAAAGATGAACCCTTTCCTATTCTTTCTCCCATTCCAGGGGGACTTGCCATCTGGCATTTTTGCCTTTATACAAAAGAAAGGCAAACTAGGAAATTTAGTCTTAGATTTTTGTCCCATGAGTCAGGTTTAAAAAATAGAATTAGTCAGTGTGGTAACTGCAGCAGCTTATTAAGGCTATGATGTCAGCCATTTACCACAAGCGGTGCTCTAGTCTGCAGTAGAATGTATTGCTACATTTCTATCACTGCATCAGCTAAACCTTATACTTAATATTATGTTACTTTTCCCAGGAGAATGCACAAATGCTATTAATTCTACTGGTGGTATTGCAAGTTGTGCCCAAGTAATATTTGATGTCTTAAAAAATAACAATTTATATACAACTCAACTAAAATCTTAACTCAGCGTTATGTTTGCAGCCTTTCCCCATAATCCTAAATTTCCCACATCAGTGTATAATCTCTTGATGTGAAATCTATTGCTGAAACCTTTGCTCCATCACCCCCACAAATCTAGCCAAGCTTCTGGTGATGTGGGCCTCCACTCAAAGTACTTAAGCATATGGCCTTAGTGACCAGCCAACTATCGTTAACAATAATTGTATAAAATCTCTACAGCAGCATTTTATCTTTACCATACATATACATAAGAAATGCTTTCTCTTAGAACTATACCTGGTATAAAGGAGTGAAGATCAGTATATATTTGAGTAGCAGCAGGCTCTCGAGGAGGTAGGGGTGGCCTGTCAAAGAGAAAGAAGTCTCTTCTGCCCACTTCATGTTCACCATCATCATCATCATCATCATCATCACATATGCAGGCATATAAACTGTCAGTGATGTCATCAGACTTGCATGTTGCTTCCTCTAGTTTGTTTTTTTCAGGATCTCTCTCTTTTTTGTCTCTTAAGTTTTCTTGACCTCTCTCG